TTTCCATCTGTGGGAGGAAACTTCTCTGATGATGGCTGAACAAGACACTGATCTATGAGTATAGCAGAATATCATTAAGAGTCATTTTATCACTGTTTTTCTTTTTTATCCCTGTTTTTCTTCCTTTTCTTTTAATAATATTTGGTTTCATCTTGGCTCTTTGGGATATCTAGTCTCTGGATCTTAGTCACCAAGCAAAGTTGAGTATGGGTTCTATCTCATGGACTGGGCCACTCAGATATTAGTTCATTATTCCTACAAGCTTTGCCTGATTAATTTTAGATGTGTGTTTATTATCTTCAGTTTAAAGTCATATAAGCTGCTGTGGTCTCTAATTAATACGCTATGTTTATTTGCCAAAGAACCTTTCTCATGGGCACAGGGAATACATTTCACACAGGTACATATTGTATATATTTGGTTTTAAATTTTCTGAAATACTTTGATTTTAGAAATAATATAACATGGGGTCTTGAATTTGAAAAGCGATGAAGAAATAGAATGAATACTTTTAGCCCAGAATCTTTTACTGAATTCCAGGTTATTTACATTTAGCTCATATCAGTACTAGAAAAGAGAAATCTGTTTAATATTGAATAGCTTTTAGTAGCAGCTTGTTTTCTCTCTTCAGTTAAACTTCAATATGACATCCATTCTGCACATTTGAGCACTGATTCTAATGTCCTTTGGAAAGTAGCAAGTCTTTTTTCTAAAATTGGAATATTTAATGTGCACTACCACAGCGATGGTGTTCCTCATTGACCTCAATTGTCAATGAAGCACCCAAATAATTTCTATTGTTATTTCTGGTAACATCACTGTCTCAGTCCCATTTTGTATTTATTTACTTTTTTCTTTTTTATTAAACTAACCTTCTATAACAGCATATCTTTTTAGTACACTACATGTCCTCTTACAGCTGAGAAAGGGAATGTTAAACTGATGGGGTTTTAAATCTGTAAATTCAAGCATGTATTTCCTACATATGTTATGTAGAGAAATGTGCTAAGTTCTTTGGTGGCTACCGAAGAATTTACCACATTATCTTTCTGATCTAGATTACATTCAGATCAAAAGAACATATGGCTAGAATCTAAACCGGAAGAGACAGCAATATTGAAATGAGAACAGTAGTACTCTTTTTCTTCCTTTATAGGCCACACTGAATTAATTATGGGCACTTTATATAGTTACTGATCAAATTAGTCATTTATTTTAAAATTGCTCCGTGTAGAAAATAGAAGTTTCTCATTTTGATCACTGAAAACTTTAAACTATCAAATAAATGAAGCTATAATTTGCATCATTTATTTATTTGTATGATATATGCACTCAGGGACACTTCAGTTCAGACAAGATTCTATTTCTAGCAAAGCATATGTTGTCTTTCTTATTTTAGTCAGTGAATTAAGCAAAAAATCATGGAATCAGCAATATTTTTCCCTGGCATTTCCCAAACCACCAAGACCAGGAAAGAAACGGAGATCACTACCTTCCCAGTTACGAAACAATACAGCTCCTGTGAGTATATGAAAATATCATGTATATATTAATAACTACTACTTAGGAACAACAATCTTGCAAAGTCATAAATACATTGCTAACTGCCCTGTGTGGGTGAGGGGTAACATGAGTCCTCTCACGGTGGATATATTTTACATAATTGCCACCCATTTCATTAATGTTCATAGCTTATTGTATGCTAACTGCTCATTCAGTACTCACACCTGTAATATTTTGTTTACAAAGTAAGAAAAAAAGTCAAGATACTTTAATTCATAATTAGTATGAATAACTAAAGGATGTTCCCCAGATATAACCCCTCACAATAGGGTCATTATAGCCTCTCCTAAGAACGAAGAGAGGTTCTGATATGTCATGCATCCCTAGAGGTCTCTAACAAATTTTAATGTTAACTCTTAAAGAAAAATTGTGGTTCCTCTAAATTGAAAGCAGACCACAAGTAGGGACATAATTGCTCATTACTTTAAATTATAATGAAATTCAATTTGGAATAGACTTTAAAACCCATTATTAATCCACTGTTTTCAAAACAGATTTTGAAAATATTCAAAAATATTTCCATTTGAAATTAAAATATGTATGTGGTATTTTACTGCTAAAGGCTATATAACATGTTTTTTTCCTTATTATTCTTACCAATATTGAGGTAATTGATGAAGAAAAATTAGGAATTCACAGACCACCATTATGGATGCACCGTTCTCTGATGAGAATTTCCGAGAGACCGTCCGTTTATTTAGCTGCCAGGAAGGGTCTTCCACCGAAACCATCTCGTTCTGGCAAGGGGGAGTCTAAAGTAGCAAGCCCATCCAAAACTTCATCTTCAGAGAAAACAAAGAAAGAAGAGAAAGAGAAAAAAGATGAATCTGAAGCCAAAGAGAAGACAGTATCAAAGAAAACCAAGGAAGAAAGTGCCAAACAAGCTGTTAAGAAGAGTTCAAAGGAATCCCAGAAGGATAAGGTGTCAGTCTCAGAATCTGAAAGTGAAAAGGCTGATAAAAAGAAAGAAGCCAAAAAAGGTAAGAAGGAACCAAAGGATAAAGGATCAGTCTCAGAATCCGAAGGTGAAAAGGCTGGTGAGAAGAAAGAGGCCAAAAAAGGTAAAAAGGAGACA